TTTTGTCTAGACTTGTTGAGATCTAAATTTTAGTCAAAAGGTGAAAGGTCCATTGAACTGCAATTTGTTCCCAGCGCAGAACGCTCCATTTGGATGCGCAGTCGAAACATTGATAACGTGTGTTTACGAAATACTACCAGGCGCCTAAATATCATGCAAGATCGATGATGGTTTCTTTTCTCTTATCACGGAAAGGAAAAATCTACTTCAGGTTAACGTGCACTACTTTAATCTTTCAAACAGCAGGAAAAATTAATGGACGACTCAAAGTTATTATCCAACATAGATTTTACAGCGACTATGAGCAAGGGCGCCCACAGAGAGGGCGGGGCAATTTGCCCTGGGTCCCCAACTAAACGGGCAACCCAAATAAGGGTCAAGTAAATTATGCATAAAAAACACAGTTAAATATTCTCCCAGAATGCAGGAATTGCTATTCTAGGGATTATAGACTCCAAAATTTTCCCTGAACCTCCCACAGGATTAATCCCCGAGCCGGCGGCGCGAAGCGCCGTGCGAGGGTACTAATTCCCCCCGGCTATTTACACCCGGGGAAACGAAAGCAGTAGCGGAGTCTAAAGTTCATCAAATATCGCGGGCGCATGGTTCACCGTTCATGGGTGGTCATCCTCACTGATCTCAAAATATAGCGGACTGTCGTGAATAGCGAACACTGATTGGTCAAATTTAAAATTTGTTGTTGTGAGATGAACTGACGACTTCAACTGACAGATACTTCATGAAAATAAATAAATTTGCTTTTTGCACTGCAGTATTTTGTACGTTTGCAAAAAACTTTGACAGCTTTCAAAGCAATTTGCTCTATAAAGAGTTTAATAAAACAATTATGGTATCAAATACCAATTGAAAAGATATGGACTACTGTATGGAGCCAAATGAAGAGCGGCAAGGAAACGACAAGAAAGCCGAAGACGACAACGTTTGCTCGAGGAGACTGCTGAGGAAAGAGAAGCTCGCCTGGGAAAGCGTAGAGAAGCATGGAAAAAAAGACTGCTGAAGCGAAAGGTATTAAAGCAAAGGCTTGTATTCACAACGCTATGTACCAATGATACTGTAGCTATACAAGTTTAAGTATGATATTCGACACTCTATATTCGACTATTTCTTCACAATTTTCCAATAAAGAGTTTGTCATGACACGCTCAAGTCAGTATAACCAGACTGTATTTTATTTATATCAGTTATCAAATACCGTCGGTGGCAACTAAGGGTGAACAGTTGCAGATAAAACATTCTCTATTCTCATTAAAAAGCCTGTAAAAGTTTCCAGTAGGTCTCTAGCCAAACAAGTTCAGACAAAGTTTTGTTACTTATTTTTATTGCACACATGGGAAACAACAATTAAGTGTTGTTGTTCTGGACAAACATTGAAGATTCTAATCACGCGAATGTTTTTATGAGCGACTGTTCATCGTTAGTTGCAAACGACGGTACAACATACTATTTATTCTATTTATTTCTCAACTCACGCTGGGTGGAAAGTGTTTGTATAGATAACTTTAATAACTAAAACTCAACGTATAAAATATATGTTTCTCAATAACTCTCAATTTGCGCACACCTTCTCTCGCACATGTTCTGTCCCGTCATGCAATTCGCGTTAAAATATATCCCTTTTTATCTAAGCATGTTCATAAATATCCTACACTCCCCCCGTTGACCATGACTTATGACTTACAATGGTCAACTTAACAGTTTCATAACTAAAGTAATCAAATGTTAACAACGTTAATGTCTACAAACTTCCTGATTCAATGAGTTCCTGTCTCTTCGCTTGTGCCTTTCTTGCTGTCTCCCGTATTGGTCTCCTTCTCAATTCCGTCTTCTGATCGTCTTTCTCTGAAGCGTTCTCCGTATTATCTCCTTCCGTCACAATTTCTTCATCGCCTTCCGACAACTCAACCGGGTATAATTTCTGAATTGGCCGTCTAATTTCCGTACATTTTCCTCCTTTGTCTGTTAATTTCCTAACTACCGCTCCGCGAATAGCCCCGTCCTTTCCTTCTATCAGTTTCTCGATTCTACCGAGTTTCCACTTTACTCTACGCACGTTCTCTTCGTGAATAACTACAACATCTCCAACTTTAATACAATTTCCTTTCTGTCGTGTAGTCTTCTGTCGATGAGCATTGCGTAACTCAAGCAGATACTCGTTCTTCCATCTCAGCCAAAAGTGTTCCTTTAAAGTTCTAAGGTACGATACTCGTCTTGCAACTTTGTTGTTGGTTATCTCTTCAATTCTCGATTCCTCTCCTGGCTTAACTGCGTCTGGCAACGAGTTTATTCTTGTTCCATTTATCAAATGTGAAGGTGTAATTGGTTCGTCTAGGTCTTCCGTAGACACATACGTTAGCGGTCTCGAGTTTAGTGTTGCTTCTATCTCCGTAAGCACGGTATAAAGTTCTTCGTTGGTGACTCTGGCATTTTTAAGAATCTTGTATAAACATCTCTTCACACTCTTAATTAGTCTCTCGAAGAACCCTCCCCACCATGGTGCCTTCTCAAGGTTGAATGTCCATCGAATTCTTTGATCTGAAAGGTATTTCTTCCCTTCTGGAATCTCGAATATGGCTGCTAATTGGTTTGAAGCCGCTTTAAATGTTTTTCCATTGTCTGATTTCACCTCTCGTGGTATTCCTCGGCGGGCTGTGAATCTCCTAAAACTTCTTATAAAGGCTTCTGCCGTCATATCACTCACAACATCCAAATGTACTGCTCGCGACACAGCACAAGTGTATATAACCATGTAAACCTTCTCCATAGCCACTGCCTTCACTTGTTTCACATAAAGTGGTCCAGCGAAGTCCACCCCTGTGTACGTGAAAGGGTGATCTTTCGTGATTCTAAATACTGGTAATCATGGCGAGAAATATTGGTCACGCACGCGCAGTAAATACACAGACTTGGAAAACATTCGAAACAAAATGGGCACGCAAAACTATAGGAGTTTGAATGGGGTAAAGAACAAGTATGGCCTTACCTCAAAACTCTTTTGAAAATGTTTCTCATTTCCAACTGATTTTGTTTTAAGACGTAAAACCCGATATTTTGATATAATAGATAGTATTCAGACGCTCATATCTCTTGCGGTTTTTCACAAAATAGCCAACAGCGTGTGAA